AAAAAAAAAAAAAACAACGTTGCAAATGTCTTCACAAGTCTCAAACTTGAGAACATCCTTGTACAAAATTCACTATTGTATACTTTTTCTAATCTGTTATTTCAGATTCAAAACAGAGCAAGATTTTGAAACATCCCCTGTGTTTCTTGTAGCTGCTGCCGTGGCGGATAATGGCAAGTCAATGGCTGATAATGGAAGTTCAATCGCTGATAATGGCAATTCAATGCCTTCTCTCTCTCTGCCATTTCATTAAACAATTTCTTTCCTATCTCAAACGACACAAAAGCATCAATAGCACCATATTCAACTTGTTCATAGCTCAAATTCTCAGCATCCCACTTACTCAAAGTAACATTCTCTGGCTTTTCCATTACTTTCCCAAGTACTGCTTTTGCCATTCTTTTCAAACCCATCTTTCCATACACATATTCTCCATAATACAACAATGCAAGTCGGTTCAAATCCACAGTATTCGCGACAAAAAGCCCGTGATCACACATCAACTTCTCAGCATCTCCCTCAACCCCGACACCAACAAATGTGAAATTTGGGTTACTCAGAAATTGTGCGAGGTATCCGGGCATGGAATCTTTGTGTAGGAGTTGAAAAAGAAGGCAACGTCGGCCTACACAAAGTTGAAGAAGAGCAACTGGTTGTTTGTCTTTTGGATTGAAATAAGGGAGCCACTCGATATCAAGACCAATAAGAAGTTTGTGTAGTCTTCGCCTATGAGTATGAATAGTATGCAAAATCCAGTCATTAACAACAATTGCATTCTTCGTTACAGTAACTTCTATTTGATCACTGTAGAAAGAAACTCCGTATACTTCAGCCATTGATAAACAACACTAAAACAAAGAACTTTTGTTGGTATGAAGTATAACTTGTGGAATGGAATGAATAAGGGGTTGTGTATATATAAGAGAGTGAGTTTTCCTAATTAACGTGGGAAAGGGAAAAGGAAGTAACGTTTTGGAAGTTGCCAAATTTTTTCTTCCTATTCCTTGGTGAATTTGGTTTGCAACAAGAATTAAAACCTTAGTTTCCTAATTTTGTAGCGTCAATTAAATGAGAGTTTTTTGCTATAATAATTGTAGTATATAGAAATTTTACTTTCCCACCTAAAATGGGATTCGGAATTGTTTTCCTAATCTGTGTTGGTTTAAGCTTTGCGGCAAGAATGTAAAACGCGTAATTACAATAATGTCCGCTAGGTAAAAGGGATATTTTACTCATGAAATCTCTTTTCGTAATGGTTTTTGTGTAAATTTGTTTTTCGATTTTTTTTTTTGTTTATTCGGATCAACTTAATAAGTATTTTTTATTGGTAAATATGAAAATTACATCTCAAATATCAAGAAGCGAACATAATTAGCATTTTAAATAAGGAATCACACCTTTATTATAACAACACAAGTAAAATCAACATTTTCACTAGGGAATTACATCTTTTTTCTGTATATTAAAAATAAATTCACAACAGTAAGATAACATCTTCAATAAGGGAATTATACCAAACAAAGTAAGAAAATTACAAAAAATATCTTCAATAGATAAATAAATAAACTACAAGTTACCAAAATCAAAATCATAAATCTCATATTCTTTTTATGCAATACTTATGAAATTTTTTATCATAATTTAATAGTAAAGAGATTTAAATTTTATTTAATAATCATAGAATAACACAAATTTTTATGATATAATAAACGATGAAAATTGAATTTGATCACAATCCAAAAATTCCCATCGAGACCCAAGTTTTTCAGATTTGAAAGAAAACTCATAGATTTGAGATTAAGAGGAATGCTTATTTTATGTAATTTTAAAATTTTGGAATAATAGAAAATAGAGAGGAAAATAATATAAAATAATAATAATAATAATAAAACAACAAATAAAAAATTAGGAGATAGCCGAAAAGGAAAATGACTAGGATAAAAGGAAATAAAAAGCACAAAGAAAAGAAAAAATCGGAAAAGGTTCAAGATAAATTCCAACTTGAATTTTACATACGAGAAAAGCTTTTAAAAAGGTCTACCACCTATGATACCTTTATTTAATTTACGACTACGAATGACATGATTAAATATTTAACCTAATTTAAGAAAATTTCAAACTTCTGAATACGATAACTTTATAATCTTAGCAGGTGCCATGAGGGATGGATCCACCCCAAAACTTAAACACAGTAAATTAGTATGATTTAATATAAATATTTCGTGCGAGTATGTTTTTTAACACTCCTGTAATATCCTCATCTCTTTTGACTTTTGTGTAATATTCTTTAAGTTTTCAGTCAAGAGGTAAAAAAGTGACAAGTGTCTACTTCGATATCATTCTTATAGTTAAAATCTGTATCTCCCCAAGTATTCAAATTAAATGGAAACATCTTCATTCTTCAACAAAGAAAAATTTACTCTTTATAAATAATTAGAAAATCATGATGATTAATAACTAATTGGATTTTAATGTTCACAAATATGAATGGTCAAATCCAAATACTCAACGAGAACTAGATGGTCCTCTGAGGTCAGTGGCGGAGCCAGAATTTTTATTAAGAGGAGTCAAAATATAAAAAAACAAACTCACCAAGAAGTTAAGGGATATCATTCATTATATAGTATATATACATATTTTTTTTAAAATTACTGAGCTAAACATTGTAATTTTTCGACGAATGCATGTGGCTCCGCCATTGTCTGAGGTGCGTCATGTACGTACAGATACTTCATGTATACTTTATGTCATTACTAAAAAATGGAACTCTAGTGGCCATGCCCATCCCTTAACTTGCTCAATTATTTTTTTGGTTTCTTACCCGATGTATTATATTGTGTTTAGGCCCAACTAAATTCTAAGTATGTGCTGCTTTGTTACGCCAAAACGTAAATGTCCAAGTCTAACCACTATACTTAATAATTTTATATTAAAATGTTTGAAATCATTGAATAAGATCTAATATATTGGGAAATAGAGTAAGCTGCGAATACAAGTTTCTTAATTATCTCATTAATCTGGTGCTATGTCTCATGTCATGTCTTTTTAAGGCATTTAGCTTTTGAAGTTACAATTTTAAAAAACTGAGTAAACTGTCATGCCAAACAATCTTTTATGTATTGTATATAGCCAAATGCATGATTGTATATTCTGAAATCAAATGCTACCTACCACTCAAAACCTACAGAAATGTGAAAGAGTAAGCAATTCATAATAAGTAGAATTAAAAATGGGAACATTATATTCTGAAAGAAGCACAAAAATGCTTCCCACTGCCTTGCCCTTTATTCTTCTCGAGATCCAAAGGTAAGTTTACTGCAACTGTTTGGTACTATCCACTAAGGATCTGGCGGCCCGGTGCACTAAGCTCCCGCTTTGCATGGGGTCCGGAAAGGACCGGACCATAAAGATCTATTGTACGCAATCTTACTGTGCATTTCTGCAAGAAGCTTACTATCCACTAAGGAACTAAGATTTACAAAATGTTCAGAGGTTTACAAGATACCTATTCACAGACTATTTACGGACGACCCGGTGCACAAGGCATCCCGTGTTCGCTTAGGGTCCGAGGAAGGGCCGCACCTCAAGAGATGTGATCTAAACAGCCTACCCTAATGCAAACATTAGTGGTTGCTTCCACGGCTCGAACCGAGGTCACATGAAGACAGTTTTACCGTTGATAATAGAAGTATACAGAAGCAATGTATCTAATTTATGTATTTGAACTGTGCCAATTCCCTATCAGATCATCACGAGGAAGGAGCACAAATGAACAACAAATCTCAAATTAAAATGTAGCAGATGGTTTAATAAATTAAAGAACATCAGCCTCTTAATGTGCAGCAATTTTCAAACATGTTGAAAATGTCTACTTCAGACAACAAAAATATGGAAGGCTAAGATTTGGTATAGCAGGAAGTATATACTAAATAATTATCCATGAGTAGATGTGTCAAAATGGTTTAAAGAAAACATTTATCCACCCATATTATTCATTAAAAATGGATAGGATAATGAACTTTTTAAAAACGGGTCGAATATGGATAAGAACCATATTATCTACTTAGAAAATTGTTAACCAAATGGATAACCAAAATGTTTAACTTTTACATTCGTAAAGCCACAAATTGGGGATTCCTCAAGTTTGGGAAACTAGGAATTCACCCATAAGTGATCATATTCAAAAAACCATGGATAATATGGATATCCATATTATCCGCCGGATAAACCGTTTTTTATCCGTCTCAAATACGGGTCGGGTCGGATAAATTATCCGTTTTTAAATTATCCGTTTTCGATCCGCTTATATTCGACCCGCCCCGCCAATTTGTCATCCCTGTCCATAAGGATAAATTCTTGAATTCTTCTTCCATCTGAAGCATGCATATGTGTTGAAGGGCTTATATCGTTCATGGAATTGCATAGTTTTGGTACCGCATTACCACAATAACAAAACGTGAACATATTTATTGCAGTTATCAATCCATCCATCTCGTAAGTGTTCCTTTCTATTGAAAACCAACACCATCAACTGCACTCGCCCAAAAAACCAAACCAACTAGAATAAT